ACTGCATTAAATAAATGGGCTACAGCTCCACAAAAAATGGCGCAAGTTTGTCTTTGACAGTTATAAAGCTTAAAAAAAAAACACAAGGAAGGATGCCCTGGTGCAGATGGGAAATTAATAATTAGCTTTCCTACAAAGAAAATAAAACAGGCTGCAAGATGCAGAAAACCACATTTCGGCTCTATTACATTTACAAATACATACATAAATATATTACATACAACAGCAACTCAAAGAGGAAGCGGGCGAGTCACACAGAGCTGGCTGGCTGCAGTTCTCCCCACACAGACATTTGGCTGAGCAGTCACATCTTCTAATATTTCCAGGAATGGGCTTCGGCTTTTTTTCCTTTTCTCTTTTGTTTTTTCTCCTCTTCTCCTTTCATTCTCTCCCCCCTCCTCAGTTTCAGATTCAGTTTGTCCAGTATGGAGAAGTGCCATAGGTGGTTTTGGTAGCCTGAGACTTTTGTTGCATGGTGCTGGGTTGGTTGCGTTGGCCAGATCCACCCTAGAAATCAGTAAGGAAGGAGACATGGGCATCATCTGCCATAGCACCAGCACTCCCAGGAAGACAAGCCTGTCTGTACATCAGCAGAAGAGCTGCCACCACCAGGGACGGCCCTGACACAGCGATGCTCCCCCACCCCAATGGATCAGTTTCTGCTCTGCAACATCTACGCATCCTGCAATCCAGGACAAACAGCCACAGAGACACCAAGCAGAAGCGTGGGGACACACCATTCCACCCAAGACAGGTTCAAGCACAAGGAAGGAGAGGAGCAGGACTGGGTACAGCAAAGGAGCTCTCTCAAGGTGAACAGAGGCAGTGCACTAGCCGAGGACGTCACACATTCAGAGAGAGAAGTCATTTCCTATTTCTGGACTCTAATGCAGAACACTGTTTTTTCAGGGAACGTTTATAGTGAGGAAAGGAAATGCATGGGCTGGTGAAACCAAATCAGAAATTGGAGCCAACATGCAACCTGCAAGGGTATGCTTGATTTTTTCCCCCAGAGTTACAGTACAAGTGCTCACATCCTGCTCTCCTGCCACAGTCGGGACAGCAGCGCCTGCCTTGGGCTTCACACCTCACAGCCCATCTCACACCCCACATCGGGATGGCTTCTTCACAGATTCACAGGCTGGCTGAGGCTGGCAGGGATCTCTCAAGGTATCTTGTCCGACCCCTTCTGCTCAAGCAGGGTCATCTAGAGCTGGTTGCCCAGGACCATGTCCAGATGTTTTTTAGTTTCTCCAAGGTGGGAGACTCCATGACCTCCCTGGGCAACCTGTGCTACTGCTCGGTTACCCTCAGAGTGAAAAAGTGTTTCTTCATGTTCGGAGAGAATCTCCCCTGTTCCAGTTTGTAAGCTCCAAGGATGGTGACTCCACAACCTCCCTGTGCAACCTGTGCCAGTGTTTGGTCACCATCCCAGTAAAAAAGTGTTGCCTGATGTTCAGAGGGAACCGTGTGTGTTTCAGTCTCTGCCCATTGCCTCTGGTCCTGTCACTGAGCACCACTGAAAAGAGCATGGCTCCATCTTCTTTGCACCCTTCCTTTGGGTATTTAAAAATACATTAAAAAGCCCCCTTGAGCTTTCTCTTCTCCAGGCTGAAGAGTCACAGCTCTCAGCCTTTCCTCATAGGAGAGATGATCCAGTCCCTTCATCATCCTTGTGGCCCTTCGTTGAACTCTCCAATACATCCCATGTGTCTCATACTGGGGAGCCCAGAACTGGACACAGGACCCCAGGTGTGGCCTCACCAGAGCCAAGCAGAGGGGAAGGATCACCTCCTTTGACCTGCTGGCAGTACTTTGCTTAATGCAGCCCAGGATACTGTTGGCCTTCTTTGTGGCAAGGGCACATTGTTGGCTCATGGTCAACTTGGTGTCCACCAGGATGCCCAGGGCCTTTTCTGCCAAGCTGCTTTGACCCCTGGCATATACTGGTGCATAGGGTTGTTCCTCCCCAGGTGCAGGACTTCGTACTTCCCCTTGTTGAACTTCATGAAGTTCCCTCCCCAAGCTGGTTAACAGCATCGAGTCTGTCAGTCTGCAGTCATTGTCAAGGCCCTTTCTCAATGAGCTAAGCAAAACCCCCCAAGACCCTGGTGGGATGTGGGTGGGAGCAATCTGCCCTTGGGCATGCTGTAGAGGCAGAAGGGGCCAACTCACCTGTGCATCTTGCTGAAGATGGTGATGCAGCATCTGGGAATGGGGCTGCTGATGTGCAGGCAGGATATGGAGAAACGGGGCTGGAGCATATCCCGGGGCAGCACCAGGGTTCAGGGGCCCAGTCGATCCGAGAGCAGAAGGCAAGCTGAAAGGAGGTGGCGTGCCAGTATGGAATCCCTGCTTGTCAAATGTCTGCACATGAGGCAAGGGGGACAGCATCAGAGACCGGTGTGAGCAGCCCCACAGCAACCAGACAAGAACAAGAATGGCCCAAACACACATCACCTGAACCCGTCACCAACCCCATGAGCAAGCTAAATCACACCTGCAAGCACTTCAGCAGAGGAGTTTCAGCTCTTGTTCTTACCCATACTTCTGCACTAATGCCTCCAACATTTTATTTTACTTTTATTTCCACAGCTACTGTGTTCCTTTTTCCCCCTGACCTCTTTTTACTCAGTGGGACATGGGATGGCAGCAGCTGCCTGAAATCAGTCCTTCACACACTGTGGGGGCTCAACTTGGAATTACTCTTCCTACCCAGGGAAGCACAACAAAAACTAGCAATAAGATTTTCCTCCCCTCCCCCCAACCCAGCCTCTCAACTCAAAACATTAGTGTCATCACACTTCATTCGCAGCCAGAACAAAGCATGCTTGGGGCAGTGTGGGCAGCATGCAGCAGCATAGAGCGCTACACCTATGCCAGCAGCTGCCATCAGGAGCTGACATGACAGAAGTGGTGGGACAGAGAGCGAGACTCTTCTCTAACAGCAAACAGAGCCAGCATAAGAAATACCACAGCCTGCTGACTCTGAGACCAACTGGCCTGGGAATGGCCCTTGGCCCTATAGTTCCACAGGGGGAGCCATCAGCCTGGCCTCAGGCCACAGGGGAGGAGGGTCCAGCATTGCTCACCTGAGTCTTGTTATAGACTGAGCCACTGATATCAGGCACACCTGTGTTACTTGAGGTCACAGAAACACCTGGAAAACAAAAAAAAAGCCACAAACAATGAGAAAGTCAACTACCACCCAGCATGAGCCCCATGCTTTGTTCCCAGCACCTCCTGTGGCCTTGGTGGATGCACCTTTGTTTGCAGCACCACACGCTCTGCTGCTTGGCCAGCCCAGCAGAGTTCTCCATGCTGTCAGACCCACAGCACCCCACATGGGAACAGAAAGTGCTCGGTTCCTTGCTTCAGCTGCGAAGCAGGAAACCAGCCCACTGCAATAAGTCACCCACATCCACAACCCACTGGTTACTGCTTGGGTTCAAATGCACTTCACCAGGCAGCAGCCAGCTGCACTGAACACTCATTTAAGCTCACAAAAAGCCAGCTTTCCCCTAGGATTAGGGATGCATTTGGCTCTACTGCAGCATTCAAGAGCTTTCCAGTGGTGCACCAAGCAATGAGACTCAGCATCTGCTACACATTTGAGCCCTTGTCCTTTTACTTCCTGCAGAAGGGTGAGGTTGGCGTTTCAAATGCACAACAAATTCTTGGTATTTGCTTAAGCCCAAGGATGAACTAGTTAGTGCTAAGCAATTCAGTATACATTTCTCAGGTCTAACCAGCACGTGCAGAATAAAGCTTTCATATAAGCTGTATAAATTCTTCAGCCTTTACAGTCACAAAGGAAACATTTCCAGGCATGAAACAACATGATGAGTTACAGGATGTACGGACAGCAGCTGAAACAGCCCAGAGACGTGTGAACTGCCCTGCTTGCTTCTAACACATGGCTATTGCGTGTGCCTACCAAGAAACTAAAAATCTAGTCTTCATTTGGCAGAGGACCAACTCTCAGCAGCATCCAACTGCTTAGGCTTCAAAAACACAGCACTGCTACAGGATCACTATATTCTTCAGCAAAGAAAACTTTGGCAGAGGAAACAGTTCACCATTTTTCCCATGTATAATTATGGACAAAGCTGCGTATCAGCCACACATATCCTTATGCAAAGTTCAGCCATAAGGTTTAGAAGGAACACTTGGGCCATTAAAAAAGCATTTTGTATACGACGGGAGATGGAGAAACAGCTTGGATCGTAACCCTGTTTATAGCTGGCTGCTGCGTTGACTGCACAGCACTGGGAGTTTGCCCTACTAAATCCCACTCGAGCAATCTCAAGTCTCATGTGTTACCTTTCCCAGGTCCAGTGCCAGCAGATTTGTTTTGTGCTTGAGATGACCCACTGTAGCCTCCTTTGCTGTAATCTCCAGCTGCCGTTCCCTGCGTTAAGTCATCATAGCCTGCCGGTGTGTACAAGACAAAGTGTTACAGCGTACAAGCAGCTCTGCAGACGCTCACGTGAAAAGCACAGTGGTAAGCATACCTGCTCCATAGCTGTGCTGCCCATAGCCACTCGCTTGCTGGAAAGGAGTTGACGCAGTGTTCAGGTTGACTCCATGCTGTTTAGCAGATGCTGGAGGTACCTGGACAAAGGAAGGGAACAAAAGGCCTATTAACCGGGGAATGGCACAAAAAACACAAGCTCCCTCTGCCATCTAGTGGGGAAGGCACCTCCACCTCACATGGGAAATTTAATCTGGAGTTGGGACTGGCATGGGACATTGTGCTAACGCTTCCAGTAGTAACTTGCTGTAGTAGCTTTGTGCAAGCCCCAAGTTTTCTGCTAGAGCTGTCCCTCTGCAATGAAACCCTGTCTCAGAACAGGCTGCGTATTTCTTTCATATGCTGACTGTGAACAGCAAATTCTCACCCACAAACCCAAGAAGGAGCAACCACAGTGCTCTCCCTCCAGAATCAAATGAAACACCAACTCCTGCTTGAGGCTGTTTCATAAAACACAGGGCCCTAAAATAGACTCATCTACCCTTCTGCCTGGAACATCACCTCTTCCCAAATAACATTCTCCCTCCTGAGACTACCAGCCCTGCTCTCTGACTTAATGGGGTCTCCTCCATTCTCAAAAGGATTTCCTAGGCACTCTCGGCTCACTGACTCAGCTTTGGGTCTCCCTTTGACTCTCCAGAAGCTGCTATGGGCTTTCAGGAACACCGAGTCCATGAGCTGCAGCTGTCTGCTATTTACAGTAACCTGCACAGGAGTCCATGAGTTCTGGCCTTTTAAATTTCCTGTTTTCTCAGGGAAGAGACTGCAGCTATTTTTTCATGCTTGCATGTTTTTGGAGATCCCTTGCAGACTGGGGAAAATTACTCTACTCCACTGTCATGAGACCCCACCTGGAGTACCATATTCAGTTCTGTGGCCCCCAGCACAAGACAGTCATGGATCTGTTAGAGCAGGTCCAGAGGAGGGCCATGAAAATGATCAGAGGGCTGGAACACCTGTCCTATGAAGAAAGGCTGAGAGAGTTGGGGTTGTTCAGACTACAGAAGAGAAGGCTCCAGGGAGACCTTATTGCAGCTTTTCAATACTTAAAGGGGGCTTATAAGACAGAGACACTTTTTAGCAGGACCTGTAGTGACAGGGCAAAGGGCAACAGTTTTAAACTGAAAGAGGGTAGATTTAGATTGGACTTAAGGAAGAAATATTTTATGATGAGGGTGGTGAGACACTGGAACAGGTTGCCCAGAGAGGCTGTAGATGTTCCATCCCTGGAAACAGTCAAGGTCAGGTTGCATGGGGCTTTGAGCAATCCAATCTAGTGAAAGATGTCCCTGTCCATGCCCATGGGGTTGGACTAGATGATCTTTAAAGGTCCCTTCCAACCCAAACCATCCTGTGCTTCCAAGATGTAGAAGGTTCGGGCTGGAGAGAGCAAAACCAGAGAGGGACAAAGGAAGGGTTACAGTTTAGGCTGTCACACTTACAAACATGGTTGGCCCATACTGGAATGCACTGGGTACACCGGGCACACCAGCGTAATAAGGTAACCCAGTGTAGCTGTACCCCGGGGGCAGGGTCGGGTTGAGGAAGGGCTGCTGAGTTGTATGGTGAGTCTGCGTCTGGTTCTGCTGCGGCTGGGCGAGTGTGGTAGCAGGAGCAGGAGAGGCAGAATCCCCACGGCCAAATTTTGTTACATCACCTGCGAAAGAACAAACTGATCAGAAAAGCTATCAAAGCCACTCCAAAAGTAGAGGATTCAAATCCTCTGAATACAAGTAGACAACTACAGAAGAGAACGCATCCTACACTTGAAAGGCTGCAGTTCATAGAACAAAGTCTCCCAGTCTCTGTTCCTGACAGCCACAGAGACATTGCCTGTTCATGGCACAGAACTCCATGTCATGGCTAATCCATTGATAAAATGGAGATACCGATACTTATCTCACACGATTTGAGCAGATTCATTACTATCAGACCATTGCAATAAAACATGCTAAAACCAGAAGTATGGTAAATAGCCAAAGAGCAAATGGCTGTTGGGTTAAAGTGTGACGCTCCTGGAGGTTAAACTGATAAGCTAAGCTTCATGGGCTGAAAGCAATTTAGGATTTACAGGCAGTGATGGGCATATTTTTGTCAATGTCTGTTTATTTGTCAAGCATGACTAGTTAGATGTCCAGTTCCTCACACCACCAAAGTTTTGGAGACAGTAGCTGAAAGCCAGGAAAGCAACGCTTGCATTGAGCGCCACCTTATTGAAGAAGTAGGAAGGGAAATTTGGTTATTAACCCAAAAGCAGCTTCCCGAGAGAAGTGATTACGAAGCAGAAAACTCCCAAACACTTGCATTTTCTGGCAGCCTACAGAGCAGCATGTTCACGTATTTTTAGGGAGGTGACATATATCAATCACATCTATCTCATTCCCAACTAGTATTCCTTTATGTTGGTTACTAAAAAGTATGACAACACTTAATACCAGCATTATAGGAATTATAACACCTATGGCTACAGTTTTAAGCTATAATCAGATGGCAGTGAAAGAAAACCACTGGCTGAAAATACTGGATGGCATTAATGTCGTCCTTGCACGCTGCTAACTGAAAAGCAAGAGCAAGAATGAGGAAGGGCTTCTTAGAACACATGCTTTTGGGAATGAAGTCCATTAGATTTGGGGAGGGTGAGGGAGAGCCTACTAGATGCAGCTCCTGCTGGGAACATACAAGTGCTAAAATAGCAGTAACAAAGTATGGGCAGCTACTGAGGGGGGGTCTATTGCAGTGCCAAAAAAGGAAAGCAAGCCAGTTGAATTTCGAGAAGAATGATTAAGCTATGGAATTTCAAGCACCCGTATATGCTTGGGAAGGGCACTAGATGACACTGCCGTTCACATTCATAGCAGTTTTGCACTTATGCTCAAAGGCTTAATCCCACATATGTCGTCACATATGAATTACTGATGAAAACCATGAAGAAGAAAACACCCAGTGTCAGGGTTGAGAGGGAGATGCTCACTTTTGTTTGACTAGTTCGGACTGATGAGTTTAACTGCTTACAGAAAGGAAAAGTGACTGCTCTTTCAGCAATGGCAGGATGACCAGCACATCTCACTTACCATGCTCATCTTTAAATAGCACTCACCTGAGTACGGGTTGTTAGCAAGGTTCCCATCTCTGCTTGTCAAGGTTGCAGGAGCAGGGAACGTAATTCCATAGTAATCCTTAGAAAGAGACAACATCATTTAATAATAGTTGAAACTGTAACAGAGCTGGACAGCTCTTATGAACACTGTATTACTCGCATAAGAAAATTTAGAAAGCAAGAAGCTTGGTCAGAAGCTGACCTTATCACTTACAGCAGAGCTGAAGATTTACCTGGACCCTCAACTTCAAAATAAACTTATTTTATAGACATTTTTAATGTCACTGAACATGAAATAATCCAGCTAAGATTTAGTATTGCAGGTGCTTTCTGTTACTTGAAACGGTGCCATATTTCATCACCCTTTCCTTCCCAGGTAATTCCATCTCATCAACTCCAGCATGAATCACTTCACAAAACACAACCAAATTCCTACTAAAAGTCTTAGCAAGTTACTCAAAAGCAGCGCTCCTGTCTCCTTCTAAGGAAAATGACACAAAAAGCAGATTTGGAGAAGGGATCTGAACAGGATTCGGTGGATATGAACTGGAACTGACACACTAGCATTTTCCCCCTATATAAACCAGACAAAATACAACTAAATCCACATGAGAGTAGGGTCTAAGGATTGCAATTATTCCCACTGCCCCTCATGTGAGGGAAAACCACATCAGCACTGCATATCCCTATCCCACACACCTGTGCAAAAATCATTAGAAAATGAGTGCAAGCCAGTTATCTTTGCACTTCATGCCCACCCATAGGAAAATATCAGAAGAGATACTCTGCTCTTCAAACAACATGGGTCTTTCCTGACCTACAGAAGGCATGCAGTAGAAGGTGCCTAAAGTCAAAACTGAAATATCAGGAATAGACTCAAAAGGCGAGACTGGAAAATGATAAGTGATCTGACATAATACATTTAAGCTCCATCCAGCAGCTCGCTAGGTACCACGCTATCCTGGTTTCAGCTGGGAAAG